CGCAGGGGGGTGTATGGGACGGGGCGGATCTGACACGCGGCGGCACACGGCCAGCGCCCCGCAGATCTATTGCAATACAAAGAGTCCAAAGGGGGCTCAGGCAGGGTACACGCTCCCCTCCCATCTCCTGTCCAGGGCTCTGGGGCAGATCCATCTCCCTGCTGTCTCCCTCCACCATATCCCGCCCTGCCTCACTCCTCTGCATTCCCCCCCGCCCGCTGCAGCTGTCCCTTAGCCCAGCCGGGTGGGGTGGTGCCTGCCCTCGGTTACCCGGCATAGGCCAGTCACTGCACTGCCACAGGCAGAGCCCTCCCGACGCCCAGTGCCAGCCCCTCCCCTGCACTGGCTGCTCCGTCCCCAGCTGCTGGGGTCAAACTGCAAAGGTCTCCTGCGCCCCAAGTGCCCCGCCCCTGCACATCCCCTCCCCCCCGGCTCTCTGGCCCCAGCTCCGTGCCAGGACGGCCCCAGAGGAAGTGGCTTTCCTGCAGGAAGTCAGGCTGTTGAGACGCTGAGATAGGAAAGAGGTTGGGGGGCGGGGGGCCAGGACCCAGCCTGGGCCCAAACTGGGCACCTGCTCTGCAGCCACGGGCAGCAGGGTCCTCTCCTACCCTGGTGACTTGGGCTCCATCATGGCACGTGCCACCTGCTCAGGGGCCAGTGGGACAGGAAAGCACTAGCCCCTGCCCCACACACTTCACCCCCTAGTCCCCCAGCTCCAGCTGCCCTGCCCCTGCCCGGAGAGCCCCAGGACACCTGCAGGCCCGGCCTCTCCTCCGGTCAGCCCCTCCCGCATCCCGCCTCTCCTCCAGTTAGCCGGTCAGCCCCTCCCGGATCCCGGACCCGGCCTCTCCTCCGCTCAGCCCCTCCCTGGCTCAGTGTGTGCAGCCGGCAGCATCCGCTCCAGGACAATGGGGCTACAGGATCCGGCACAATGGCAGGAGGACCCCCCCCCGGGTCCCCTGCCTGGCTCAGCGGAAAGGGGTGCACATGGCCCACAAACAGCCCCCAATGGGCAGCACTCCCACACTGATCCCCACCCCATCTCCCTGCTGACACAGCCAGCTCCTGCCCTGCCCCCCACAGCGCCCCCTGCTGGGAGAGGTCGGGCTGGAGTAGCCAGGAGCGCCCCCCCATACCCAGCACTCTTGCCCCGCCCCCCCCAGCGCCCCCTGCGGGGAGAGACCGGGCTGGAGTAGCCGGGAGCGCCCCCCCATACCCAGCACTCCTGCCCCGCCCCCCACAACGCCGCCTGCGGGGAGAGACCGGGGTTGGAGTCACCGGGAGCTCACCCCCATATCCAGCACTCCTGCCCCGCCCCCCACAGCGCCCCCTGCTGGGAGAGGCCAGGCTGGAGCAGCCGGGAGCGCCCCCTCATACCCAGCACTCCTGCCCTGCCCCCCACAGCGCCCCCTGCTGGTAGAGGCCAGGCTGGAGCAGCCGGGAGCGCCCCCCCAGCTCTCTGGCCCTGTTCCCTACGATGCTGCCATGCCAAGACGCGACATATTCAATTCATTTGCTCAGCTTCCGCTGCGGTGCATCTGAAGCGATCCTGAGGCCCAGCAAGGGGGGACTCATGTGGGGGGAGTCACGTACAGAAGCTGCCCTAGAGGCCAGTCCCCCTGTGCCGTGCCGGGACCCATTACGGCCCCTTTCGGTGTCTCTTGGCCAAGCCAGCCAGACTGGGGCATGAGCCTGTGCGAGGCCTGGAGCCCGGCTGGAGCTAGACCAGAGAGACGCTGGCTCGGATCCCGGCTAATTGAATCCCTCTCTCGAGGGAGGCTGTCTCCCCAAGCCTTCCCCAACCCGCCTGCACTCCCCCCAGCTCCCTTTGTCTCTGCGCGGCTCCAATTACCCATACATGTGACAACACGCTCTGCTCCGAGCACACGCCGCTGCAGCGCTCCGGGAACATGCATGTGGCTCTGCGTGTTCATTTGAACACAGGCAGGCCTGGCACCCCAGAGACCTCCAGGGGAGGGATCCTGCTCTGGTGAAAATCTGGAGCTGCTCTGCCTTCCCACAGCACGGCTGGGCCCCGCGCTGGGCATGGCTCACACAGACCCAGGCGCCTTGTTGCCCGGACGGGTGCCAGCCCCGGGGGAGGGCGTTGCACTGACAGTAAGAACACCCGGTGCCAGGTGGCGTCCCGCAGACCTAGCGGCGTCCAGGCAAACAGGCCTGAGCAGGAGCTTCTCCTGCCCTCGGGCAGACGTGCCAGCTTCCTGGGCATGGCTCCCACTGCCAGAGTCAGGGTGAGGGGCAGAGCAGTGCTGCCTATGCGCCTTGGGGGCAGGGGCAGGGAAGGTGGCTAAGACGGGAGATATGGTGATGGGGACTCAGCCACTTCCCCTGCTGCCCCCTCTCCCCCCCCCCGGCTCCTGCCTGCCACTTCCCCTTGCATTCCCACCTGGCTCGCGCCCAGCGTCCCCACAGGGTGACGTCACCGCTCAGTTGCGCCCGAAGGGAAGCAGCCCAAGCCACAGAGCTGCATGTGGTTTCTGGAGGAAGCCCTGTTCCCGTCCCAGCACCGTGGGGAGGGAGGAGGGGCGCTGGGGGCGCAAGACTGGAGGGAGCCTGTCCTGCAGAGCCAAGCCTGGGCCCAGCGTCAAAGGGCAAACCAGTGGGCATGGGGGGCTTTCCTGCTGCCTTGTGCCGGGGACAGAGAGCCTGGCCTGGGAGGGTGAGTTAATAGGGGGGCTTCCTTCCTGCCTTCGGGGCTTGTCTCCCCTGGAGAGCGTGGGGGCGCCGGGACGGCTGCTTGCCCCTAACGTCTATTTAACTCGTTGGAGGCCAGGCCCTTAGCCCCAGAGCCGCCCGTCCGCGAGGGAGCGAGATTGGGCATCATGCTCCAGGGCAGAAAACAGCATCACAACCCCCCGCACACTGGGTCTAACGCCCCCCACATGCCCCAGTGCCTCCTCCAGGCAGAGACCGCGTCTCCATGGGGCCAGAGGGGGCACCCCAGGGCAGTGCGATGGCCCCGGAGTCCTGGCTCAATCCTCACCCGGATAACTCGCTCAGCTCCCCTGAATCCCTCTGCTGGGACGCCCCCCCAGTCCCTGCCCTGTGGCGCTCCTGGGCGCTTTGGGATCCTGCTGGGACAGGCCGGGGCTGGAGTAGCCGGGAACGCCCGCCCAGCCAGCGCTCCTGCCCTGCCCCCCACAGCGCCCCCTGCTGGGA